CTAACAAGGAAACTTGTAATACCGTCACATCGAGATCTCAGCTTGTTCTTTAACCTTTTGTAAACCCTGGTTACATCTTCTTCACTGATATGTGTTGGAGAAAATGTACAACTTGTTCTTCTAAGGAATATTTTAGACAGCTGGGAATATTAACACATGCGTCTATTAACATCCTAGAGCTCTATGTGAAAACAAATTTACGATTAGCCAAGGAATTACCCCAAAGTCTAGCCAGATACCTCATTGACACCCTAAGTATATGTATTCGAAGCGCCTATCGAAGGATACATGTTACTCTTGTGTATTGGTTTGCATGTCAGAATGTCTACAGTTTTATACCTCTTATCTGTCGTATCTCCGTAGATTCCAAAATACAACCTAAGGTAGTAAGTATTTTAAGATTTTGCATAATTTAAATTTTCTGCTGTAGCTCCACCAAAGTTTTGCCAAACAATTCGTAATATCAAGGTAACGATGGATTCAAAGAGCAAATTAATTTCGCTGCTCAAGTAGCATAACTAGGCATTTAAAATATTTCTCTGGAGTTTCTTGGTTCTACTTATGAAACACGGATCGCAAAATGAGCTTCGGGAAACCGCAGCATCGTGTGATTGAAGCTGCCATTAAAGGATGTTAGAAAATGCGGTCAAGAAAGTTTAAAGCCAGATTCAGTACAAGAACGTATGAATACAGTTCGCTTAAGTATGGGTCCGCAAATCCCCGTTTTCGTGACGCCTCTCGCCTTTTGCAAATATAAGTCGTTATCTCCAAACCATATATTGAAAGGGTCTCCCATTATGTTCTTTGAAAAAGGTGGACAGCTTTGATAACGATAAATAAATTGATTTACAAGGTGATTCACAAGTCGTGACCAAAAATGAAACATCATACACAGGAACGCATTTTCTATGTAACATTTTTTCCTAGAGGGTTTCCTTGAACTTTCAAAATAAAAAACATTTTTTTTAATATCTTTAAAACCGTCAACTGGAATGAATTAAAATTTTGGCATGTGGATTTACCTAAGCATTGTCCACATTCAAAAGTTTTTACTTAAAATTAATGTTCAGCAGTGGCGGAGATACAGGGGATTACTGGCATTATTTTTCCAAATGAAAAAAGAACGCCACTGTTTGTTTCGAAATGCGCAATTTTTCGAATTTCACCTTCAATTTTATACAAATAATTACTCTTGTGTTTTTTTCATAGAGTGCATTGTTTTCGTTAAGATGAATAACACAAATTAGATACCAAAGCTTCATTTCAATAAATGTTCAAAAAGACCACCACTTTGACCGATACAAGTGCGGCATCTTTTCAATAAAGAAAAACATAGCCGCAAAATTTGATGAGGCTTGAATTTGATGACACGCATCATCTATTCTTTCTTGTAACTGATCAACAGTATTAATTTGTTCAGCATAAACTAGTTGTTTGAAAGCGCCCCACAAAAAGAAATCCAGGGGGTTCAAATCAGGAGATCTCGCAGGCCAATGTACGGGCCCGTTTCTGCCAATCCGTCGTTGTCTAAAATAGTTATTTAACGATGCGGTTATTTCACGATGAACATGCGCTGGAGCACCGTCGTGTTGATACCACATTCGTAGAGGAAAGGAATCAAATTTGAGACAGGCGCCTAATTTGAGACAGTAACTTTGTACCTTTGTTGCGCCATCTTCTAGTAATACCAAAAACTTGTAAACTAAGACTATTCTAGATGTGTTTACAGTTTAGTTTTGCACATGATTTGCTGAGACATCACAACTTGTTCAGAGTTGAAAATATGTTTAATAGTACGAGAAAAGTGATTACTAAAATTAAGGTAAGCTACTTAGAACAACTGTCTGATATAATTTTAGTAGTTTACAAATACCTTTATTTTCTTTTACGATATTGTGATTTTAACTCACTTTTTAACGGAAAATTCCTAATCTGAGATACCCAAGTGTTCCTAATTTGAGACTACATCAAATTAGGGCCCTGTATCAAGACATTTATATTTAATTATGTTTTATTATCTTTATATTGCAGATGCAACCGAAACACAAAAAGTGGAACCCAAATGACATGAAAAAGTCCGTCAAAGCTGTAAAGAATAAGGAGATGGATACCGTCCCCCTGCAGTTCAAGTTCAGAATGCAGCGGAAGCCTTAGTTTGGATGATTCATCTTTAGACGAAAGCGGTGGAAGCGATGCTGAATGTTTATTTTGCACGGGTCGATTTTCCGAAGATAAGAAGGGTGAAAAATGAGCAAAATACAGCCATTGTAGTAGATGGGTACATGCAGATTGTGGAGAGATAACCAATAAAATTTTCACTGGCACTTTCTGCAAAGGAAACGGATTTTTTGAATCGTATCTCAAATTAGGAAACCAGCTACAAATTTACAAAGAAATTTACGTTTTTTAAAATACACTTTTTGTCTGTAAAAAATACCTTTAATATTATTTTTTCATTTTAGAGTATGCTACGAGCATCAAATCGCAAGTTTATTTAAAAATATATGCTCGTGTAAAGTACTTTATTTTTCCTTTACAAAAAACGTATCTCAAATTTGGTTCCTTTCCTCTACTCTCGTTGCTAACGGAATATCATCTAACACATTTTCTATGTAATTTTCTAGAAAAGCTAACATAAGTATGAGTTTGCATTTAAACGTTGTGGCAATACGTGCATAAACAGTTGGCTATTGAAAATGCCGCTCCAGACATTTCTAGAAAATTTGTGTTGAAACGAGTGGATTATTACAAAACGAGGATTTTCAGACGACCTAATATGTTCATTATGAGAATTCCAGGTTATACTCATCGTGAAAGCGATTCATCCGACCCCAATCAATAATATCTGCATTTTGATTATGTATTGACCACTCATAAAAATTTATCCGGTGCACTTCGTCGCCGGGTTGCAGACATTGCACATTTTGCCGATGGTAAGGATGTTAAACTTCCCGATTTAAAATTTTCCACGCAAGACTTTGGGAACATGGAACTGGGCTGCAATCCGCGTAGTAATTGTACTAAAATCATCCAACGCCAAATTAATCACTTCCAGTTCCTCTTGAACAGTATGCCGGACACCAAGGCCTCTAACTCCGGGAAGTTTGGCAATTCCATATTGCCGAAGTCTGAGAAATGAACGTATATAAACCTTTGGAAAAGGTTGGCATCTATTCGGAAATCTACGTTGATACTCCTGAGAAGCCGCTAAGGCATTTCCATTTCAGTACCAATACACAAAAATAATATCGGCGTACTCATCATTGCTGAATTCCATTTCACAACACTTAAAAATGGAAAAAGAAACTTTTGACTCAATTAAAAAAAAAATGGTAGTACTAACGATAACACCCGTAAATACATAAGTTTGACAAACTATCTCCCAAGAAACGTCAAGTTGATATCAAGACCTCCTATTTTATTTTGGAACTAATTGTATCTCGGCTCTTCATGAATGATCTAATTTGTTTTATTTTTATTTTTACGAAAACAGTTCACTCGAGGATTAACATAACAGTTATTTGTGGCAAATTGAAGGTAAAATTCGAAAAATTGCGTGTACTATTTTTAATGGGAAAAATAATGCCACTAATCCCCTGTATCTCCGCTACTGGTGCACGATAATTTTAGGTAAAGACTTTTGAATGCGGACATTACTTAGGTAAAGCCACACACCAAATGTTAGTTTATTCCAGGTGACGGTTTTGAAGATATTAAAAAAAAATTGTTACATATTTTTAATCTTCAGGAAAAACTGTTACATAGAAATTAAAATGCGGTCCTGTGTATGATGTTTCATTTCTGGCAACGACTTCTAAATCATCCTGTATACTGGTTAAAAAATAAATTTTCCAGTAGAATCAATGTGGCTTTAAGATACCGATACTGATTTTGCAAACACCTGCAGCGTACTACTTTTCTACTGAAAGAACCGACACGAATCCCACTGATATAAGTGCTTTATAAAAAATGTTATACATATCAATATACCTTTGATAAGACTTTTACGTGTAACAAAACTCGTATCATCAGTGTGTTTTCAGGAAATGTAAGGTAAACTGTCAAGGACGGATCAGTTTAACACCCTGGACACAAAGCAATCCGTCTTTCAACTTGCCTGGCAACTATCTATAATATCCTGAATACAGCTGAAACAATTCTGATACGAGATGTACAGTCTGTGAAAACCAAAAGTTCGTCAATTTTGGCCTGAAAAACAAGGTTGAAATCGCTTTAAAATTAGTTAATCTCAAAATCCTCTTCAAGGCATTGGTGAGCAAGGTCTTAACTTTAATTTGGATACTCGGTTGTCCTCAAAAATTAGAAATTTTAAGCGAAATTTTGAGCTTTGCATATATCCATACGGTGACCCAGATCAAATTTGTTTAAACATTTTTTTTAAATAAATTACAATTTTTTGCCCTGTCAGGTTTTACGGATCATTTAAAATAAAAAAGCCTTCCAATAACTTTTCTCTAAAGCTGATCAATTTCGAGTTATAATGGGCATACTCATTCCTTATAAACTCGGTTAAAATTATAATTTTTGAAGTCGCCAGGTATCAAAACTAAGGTTTATTAAGCCTTGCTTTATAAGATCCCGCAGAGCATTTTGACATTACTTTGTTCTAAAACGATTTTCAATCTAGTCTGATAGGCCAAAATTTGCGAAATTTTGGTTTTCTCAAACTGTACCTATACCTACATATTGCCTATTTGAATTTTTTAACAATCAGTCTTCTATTTTTTTCTTCTGAATAAGTAGTAAAACTGAGAATCTTTCCCGAAATGCACAATTTTTATGCCTATTAGGCCCTTTTGCTGTGAAAAAATATTTTAGGTAATGAATGAATTATTGATATTTATGATTGATTATATTGCCGAAAAGTCTAGTAAAATGTTTTACCATAATGCATTAGAATTACGTAACATACACAGTTTACCCGCGCCTGTTGTCGCCACCCATCTCTATACTGTGGAGGGTTTGTTGTGGCAACCGTGGATGTAAAAAACGTCCACTACACTTTGTCAACAGTGAACTAACCTAAATCGACGTCACGGGTTCTGCTTATTTTGATTCAGCCAAGTATTTATGTTTTGTGGTTTTGATATTTGTTTGTGTTTGTAGTTTATTTTGTATTTAAATTTAAATCTGAAACTAGCTTTTAAAAAGGATGAAGCCCGAATCAGTATTAGTGGACGCAACAGATCAAAATAAATGCACGATTTGCTTTACACCTGAATATGGCACCCAAGAGACGAAATTGATGGATATTGCCGGATCCATTGATGGGTACAAGTCCTGTTTGGACAAAATTCAGGAACTGATGCATGTAGATGTGAGTCATTCTTTGCTTCCTACGCAGGAACGCAGTTACAGTTGAATGGTCTTAGGGCAAAGTGACATTTGGCTCTCTACCTCTACTACATTTATCAAATAAAAAAAAAAACAGATTTCTATGTTCTAGAGGCCTTCTGGCAACTACCCGAGTTACGTCCGAATGACTATGGCCATGCATGTATTTTCTTTGCATATTTTATTTTAGTTTTGTAGCTATAATGCTGTAAAATTGTGTCGCCTCTAACCAATTCTTTTTTAAATTAGATGCAAGAGTGTAGATGCTATAGGCATGTAGCTATCAGAATGATAATATATCTTATATTATTCCCAAATTCTTTTTGTACTGAATTAAGCAATAATTACTTTAGAATGTGTGTTTCGGCCCTTAGATGATAATAGGGCTTGTGCATTTATTCCTTTTAGATTATTCTTGGATATCAAAAAGTATGTATTGAATGTGCAACTAAAGTAAATGAGGCATATACACTACAAGGTCAGATCCTTGAGGCAATTACATTTTGGAAGAGGTACTTTGGATATGAAGGGTCATCCAGTTTGAATGAACCAAGTGATACATTAATAGATACTCAAGATAAAAATATATCCATAGAGATGAGTGATGTTGATACTAATAGTTCCAATATGCCAAGAGAGCAGTGCAGTGCAGAAGAAAAAGGGAAGAATGATGATAAGTTTGTACAAACTGATTGCACATCTATAAGAAAGGAGGATTGTGGTGATCGAATCACAATTGTATCAAAAGCGAAACATTCTGAGATAGAAGAAGGGGTTGGTAATGGTCATGGCAATCCAAATTATAATAAGGATGATAAATCCTTGATGGTTTTGAGCTCAGTTGAGAATTATACCAGTTTTGGAGGAGATGAAACTTTTTACTGCAATAAGGTTAGTATAATTTGAATGAGCAGAATTGCTCATAGAAACAGCTCTGGGGTGGTTACTGAAGCAACATGCAATGTGTCAAATCACAGAACGTTTGTGGTCAAATATAACAATATTTCATTAAGCCATGTTAACATTTAGGTACATTATTTTAAACAGTACCTCAACACATTATCAAATATATTGGACTTTCCCCTTGTGAGTATTTTGTACTGGTGACAATAATGAATCTGTTGATATTCAGTACCATAACTATTTTCACCATTAACTTAAAATGTAGTCACAGTTTATAGCTTGATTGATTCAATCTCTTTGTATACAGAAATGTTCCAAACTTATCAGAAAGGCTATAGTATCAAAAGAAGTACTAGGTATGCTTATGTCACTTGATAGTATAGGATATATTGAAAGTCAATGTTATTTAATGTCACATTTTGACCTATTGAAGTATTATGTGAAATAATGTAGATCATTGTAAGTTAATTAGATGGAATTGGTCCTGAAATATATTAGGCAGGTAAAAATATGTTTGTTGCAGCTTCAAAAAGAGAAAGATTACATCTCTGAGGAAATATCACCAGATACTATAGACACAAATAATTCGGAAGTGGTGATAAAAATGAAAAGTGAAGTACTAAAAGAGTTAACGATCAAACCTGTTGTAGCTGCACCTGGAGATACATTTGAAGAATATAGTAAAGCAATGTTAAGAGCCACTGTTGATGATGATGAAAAGCAAACTTTGTTTTGTGGTAGATGCAAGCAATATATTGCTGATGCATCAGAAATTACAACCCATTTTTGTGTTCAAAGGAAGACAGTTGAAAGAAAAAATAAGTATAAACAGAAGGTAGGTATTTTATCAGACAGTGGCTGAATGGAAATCATCATTTTGATACAGATTTCACATTATTTTATTTATCTATATTTTTGATACATAAACAAGTCCAATTTCAAATTTTTATAGAGAACTGTGATTGAGGACAGTGACTGTTACGGGTGTGCTGCTTGTGGTGAAATGTTCAAGAGTAAAGTTGATATGGACAAGCATCAGGAGGCTCATTCTATAGTGAAGAAAGTGGAATTAGTTTGTAATATTTGCAATAAGTCCTTTATAAATGAAAAGCTCTTGAAATTGCATTCCACAAAACACACTGAGGGCCACAACTACCGTTGTCATATATGTGGTAATTAGTATTGTTTACATTTGATTTTCACTCATGTAAGGCATAGAAAAAGGTGGATAACCATTGAGCTGATTAGAAGCACACTTGTTTTGTAGAGGTGTAATATGATGTCACTATTTAGAAAATGGGCTACTTATTTAAAAACCTCATTAGTATAATTATACATAAATAGAGGAGTTAAGAAAGCTATGAACTTCGGAGATGAGAAATAAATCATAAAAAAAATAAAACATGTTTTAAACAAACTTGAGTTTGTTATGCACACATCTGTCAAAACGATTTTTGAATGTGTTAATTGTGAATGCATTAACAACATCATAGGGCAACCTGTTCCAGATATCAAATATTTGGTTAGACACGAAAAGTTGGTGAAATGTTGTTCTAAACTTCTCTTCCACTAACTTATAGTTGTAGCCTTGCAGATGGTTGACTTTAAGTTAGAGAAGTGAGGATATGCCAGCGCTGAAGAAACCATGCAAGTGGTATGTGATTATCAAGTAAACTCGTAATCATATATCAGAGAAGTGAGATAAGATGAATAGGTTCAGCCTCTGCTCATAACAAGGCCATTGGATATTGAATATTTTGGACAATTTCTATGAGCTTGTTAGCCAGGCACTCGGTCGGCGCGGCTAACGCTGTGTAGACTGTGGTGTTCACATACTAAATAGTTTGCTGCCGGCAGTTTTGGTGCAAGTAAGCAGCTGGCATGGTTTGCGTAATAAGATGGGTGCGCGTTATGCAATGCGCGAATCCCTCGCATCGTCGGGAATTGCGTAGCTGTATAGTATATTGTATAAGGTATGAGTGCAATTCAGATGATGAAGCTTATTTTACACATTTTTCCAGGCCATACATTTAAATGGAGGTCATCCCTAAATCGGCATATCCGCTTACACGAGGGACGGGCAGCCAAGCCATTTTTATGTCCGATCTGTGGCAAGTTGTTCAGTTCTTCAGATTCCAAGGCCAGTCATATGAGATTCCATATGGGAATCAAAAGGTACACGTGTGAAATTTGCGGTAAGAAATTCTCTGAATGCAAACATCTCAGGTGAGTGGAAAACTAAAGTTTTTTTTTCAGTTATATAGGGTATTCTGAAGGTTGTGATTTTTCTTTTCAGAAGTACTGCCCTGTTTCTTGTTGTTTGTTCATAATTTTCACAGTTCGATTGAAAACGGCAAGCTTGCTAACTTCTCTCTCATTTTATAACACTTAGGATTGTTGTTTTCTCTACCATGTCTACCTCGACGCTCCAAATAACGCCCGTTGTACGAGATAAAAATATTACCAGACGACAGATCGGAAAGCGTCAAGAAAAATGATCTGAATACATTCACGAAGCACCAGTAGCAAAAAGAGACTATCATCCTCCTTCCTTTCTTTCTCCCTCTCCACTTTCACCTACAACTTGTCTGGCTTCTGGGCCACCAGACCTGACAAACTGACGACAGACACTGACATTACCTTAACTATGACCTAAAGGTTAAGGTCCTCCGGACCGCCTTGAGAAGCAACGACGAGTAGACAAGACACTATCATATGCAGACATAAAATAGAGAAGTTCTCTTTATAACCACAGGAATGTACTATTTTCGGTTTTTCAAATCCGATTTATGAACAAACAGCTTGGTTTACCTACACGAGAACCAGCGCTTCGGTTGAACTCGCGTCGTATCTTCGAACCTAACCCTTTGCTGGCGGCAGAACCGAATTCTATATTTTATATTTTCTGTAATCTTAACTTTGGTATATTTGTTGCTGAAGAAAGTTGCTTCAACCCTGTTTTGTGAACAGTTGATAGAAGTTTTATACTGCCTTAACTAAATAATAGCAGATTATCTAGTAACATTTTAAAATTCACCTTATCAACAAGTGACACACAATTTTGACGGATCAGTCAACGCCAGGTAGACAGAACCGTATTTTATTGTTTTTTTTGTATGCTACGTATTCATTTTGTACTTATAAAATCCCTTTAATTTAGCAGTTTCTTCACATACAAAAAAAAAAACGCTACAAGCAGTTTTACAGTCGGTTTATTGTTGCCATCATTACAGAATAATACAAAGATGTCACTTGCTGATCAGCCTCACCTCAGTAGACGTCAAAACTCTACTAGTGAAATAGTCTGTATTGTTACCTGTATTCTTTTCGTTTTTTTTTAGGACACATGTACGAAGCCACACAGGAGAGAGGCCCTTTGCATGTGAATTTTGCTTCCAGTCATTTTCTGATAAAACTACTATGAGGCAACATATTCGTACAAAACATAAAACAGATTATTATTATGAAACTGAAAGTGCACAATTAGTAGAAACAGTTTCATAAATTAAATAGTGTGATTATAGAAAGATGATGAGTTTTATCACAAGGAAACAGCTCTATCTCCATCAGAAAAAAGTATTTTGTTTAGAAATCTACAATAAGGATCTAATTCATGTTGGAACACATACATATTGTAGACATTGCAATTTTTATAATAAAGATACTTCACCCATTTTTTGTATTCTTTTAAAATACTGAATGAGATAATTTTGTCAACAACCTTTATTATCTAAGCAGCACTTAATGCCAATGACATTTGGATGAAAAATATTTACAAAAAAGTTTATGAATCAGTGTTTTAAAACATGTTGAAGAAAGTGATTGTTTGGAAACATTAGGCAGCAATAAATCAATAAATAGTTCTACAACCTAATATAGATTTGCAACTTTTTGTAAAGCTTGTTGCTTATTCTAAATGTGGCTTAATGTACTTCATCCAATGCAATGTTTGGATTTGGTATCTACATCTACCCCTAAAACAAAAATACTGGTCTACGTCTATGTCTGTTTTGGCGCCACCTTGCATCCAGAAGCCTGAACGACGACTGATCGATAAAGTAGACAGCGCATGACAAATACCGAGAGTGATTGATTAGAGATGGGTGACTTGTGATGAGGGCGAAGGTTCATTTTTGTGAAAATTTCTGGACAGCCATTGCAAGCTAACCTTAAAAATATCGAAGAATTTTCAAAATTGAGTGGAAAAGATGCCGAGGCGGCACCTGCACCCGGAGGTAGCATCTAATCAAAATAGTTGTTCGTTATGTCTGAAGTACGAACATCAGTGCAAGGACCAGAAGCTGCTCGACATCACGGAAATTGTAGATGGAGACAAGTCTTGTTTGGACAAAATTCAGGAACTGATGCATGTAGAGGTGGGTGAATTTGTCTTTGCTTTTTAGCCAGCTCTAGTCTTGTTTTGCAACCAAGGTCCAAGAAATAATAGATGATAATGAACCCAAGGGTTAATATGTTTACATATTCGGGATGAAAATATTACTAATCATATCTTTGGGGACTCAAGACAATCCGAGTGAACTATACTTTTGCTTTTTAAACTATAGATGCTACTGATTATTAAGATGCAAAAGAGTAAAACTGAAAATATGCGCCAGAACTTCAGAGTAGAGATGATCGTCTTAAATGTGCTTTTTGCGTTCTAATTTTGCCTACATAATACTTTCATCTGCATTAGTAGAAAGTTATTGATACAATGTAGGTAGATGTTGATAAACTTTCTGGGTAGCCATATGTATGCTATTATGGGGCCCTCACAGCAGTTGTGTCATTTTCACTTACTCATTTAGGTAACTTCATACGCTTTATCACCGTATGATTTTTTAAGTACATGTAAGCCAGAGGCACACCATGCTTTCAAGGTCCTAAACATAGCCGCAGACGGGTTAACAATCGGACAAGATGTGTTTTGAAATGGATTTGCTTTAGGATTCCTTGTTCCTAGGGTTAATTGATGGCCAGGATTCATCAGGATTGTCCTGACATTTCATATGATCGCCAGAGTATGGCAAAATATAGATTGTCCTGGTAAATAAAAAAATTAAAATTCCGCGGTCTAAAAATTACTCCGCTCATTCACTTTTGAATCCTCCAAAGGGCACCTTATTGGTGAACTCAAATGCCATATACTTGTGGCAAAGTAGAAAATAAGTAGCTACCTATGTTTGAGTTGTCTTATATTTTGAACTCATATGTTTTAGCTGTAATCTTATAACTTGCCAAAAAAGTATTTTATTGTAACAGCTTTAATTTTAGTAATAAAACTAACTTTTTAATGCGTAATATCTATTTGTCCCGACTATAATAAAATTTTGATATTTTCATTGGGGTGTTTAAATGTATTTAAATTATAAATGTATGAGTTTTTGTATACATAAAATTATTTTCTGAAGTATTTATATTAGTGCTGCTGTTACCAGCAAGTGTATGTTCAGCAAAAAAAAAATAATAATAATGAAAAAATTATGTTACACTCTTAGAACCAGATTAAGTCTACTTATCTACTATTCTAAAGCCTATTTCTTAGAGATTTCCATTCAGACAAATCATATAATAAATAAAAATGATTGATTTACCATCTAGTACAATAATCTGCTTTTCATTATTAAAAAATAGTGTCTAGCTATCCTACTTTTATTAATGAACATAATGAAAAATATAGCTTTGTAAAAGCGACTCTTATTTTTGCCTAACCATTGGCATACAATTTTTGAATGACAAGTAGGTTTATACACCATACATCAGAGAATGTCTTGACCCAATATCTCAAAGATATTTTTTCATATTGTGGAGTCCCTTACTGTAAGTTAATGACATATTTAGTTTTTGAAATATATAGCTGGAAAGCTGAAAAATATATAATTTCAACCAGTTTAGAAACATTGCATATTCCAATTTAGCTGGTGATATGTGTTGGGTGCGCGACGATATGCGAGACATTTTATCTGTAATATCTATTTTAGATTGTTCTCGGCTACCAAACAATATGTGTCACTTGTGAATCCGAAATAAACGAAGCTTACCAGCTGCGCGGCAAGATCCTAGACGCAATCGCATTCTGGAAAAAGCATTTTGGCTATGAAGAAGCGTCCGAGTCGAATACCTCAACAGATGCGCAAACTTGTATTGCACCTACACAAAAGGTGGAATGCGATGATAGTGTTACCACTATACCAAGAACAGAAAAAATTGAGGTTGAAGAAGAAAGTGATGATAATGTTACAGCAGTTGAGAGTTATCAGGATGACTTTGATAGTGATGATGAGCCCCTACACTGTAAAAAAGTTAGTACATACATTTTATACAGTATGCTACCACCTATATTACACATCTAAGACATCAGAAGTGTAAATGGCAACACTGGATCGTTGCTGCCCATCCCGTGGAGTATAATCTATGAAATGACGGACAGGGATGGAATCACACCTAGTTTTGCTTGTTAGTGGGTAGTACCTGGCCAGTTCTGCCATTTTACACTCTATATGATGGTTGATTTGTATAATATTAGTGACAACCTGCTGATGCATATCTGTCAAACGACAAAGTATTGAACCAATATTTATTGTAGGCTCGGTTACTTAAGGACTCAAATTCAAACGAAACCTCACCAGATATGAAATTTAAAATAAAAAAGGACCCAGATACAAAGAAAGAACCAAAAAGTGAAATAGCAGATGATGTGCTAGACCTCACTGATGGAACTATTACCTTGATATCTGAAGCATCTATCAAAAGAATTCCTGGAGCTACAATTAAAAAAATCAGTGATGTAAAGAAAGAGGAGGAAAAAGAAAATACTGACTCAAAGAAGTTGAACCTGTTTTGTGGTAGATGTACCTACTACTATGCTGATCTATCAGAGATTACGACACACATTTGTGTTGAAATTCCGACAAGTAACCAAAAGAAGAAACAACAGCCTACTAAGTCACAGGTAGGCAATCTGTATAGACATAGTTGAGAGTTTTGCCAATCCCAAATACCTCATCCATAAATGTTAACATTTGCTTTTTTGACAGTTAAGTCAATGAAAACTCTGTTGTGACTATCGCGCTATCAAACGCCACGGTATTCACGACAACGCCAGGGTAGCTCTCTCAATTCTTGACGACGTGACTGAAACTTCTAGAGTGAATGAACCTAAGTAATTATAATTAGGTTCACATTCTAAAAATAGTGCAAAAAAACATTCATCACCCTAGAACTTTAGACGTATTCAGACACAAATTTTTGTTTGAAATTTGGACGTTCTCCGTTCATGAATTAAAGGGGAAATACCTGTAATCTACACTTTTCCGTAAAAAAAATATTTTTGAACACACCTTATATTTCTCGCCAGTGAACGCTCACGGCAGGTAATCCAGTTGGATGCTGTTCGCTTATGATGAGCATTAAATGAAAAACATGTCATTGACAACTTTCTACTTGTTTTTGTACCTCCAATGAACATGCATATAATACTTTCAGCCTTCCCGAAGGGAACCTAAGCCAATAGCCTGCTTTGGTTGTGCCGCTTGTGGCAAGGTATTCAAAAGAAAAATCGATTTGAACAGGCACAAAAAGGAGGAACATGCAGTGGAGAAACCAAGGCAGGTCTGCAACATTTGTGATAAATCTTTCAAAAATGCGACATTGTTAAGGGAACATTATTCGGTGCATACTGGAGAACAAAACTATTGCTGTGATGTCTGTGGTAAGTCTTTTAGAAGATGACTCACATTTTGTCACCCAAACCAACTGCATGAATGGATAGAATGAGGAAAAAAATTCAAAAGAGGTGTTTACTATCGGAACTTGAATAAACCTGACATAAACATGCAATTTCACCTTCACTGATAACATTCAAATTTGGTTCAGGATTAGATATGATTTTGGTAATTTATAATTCATTTTCAGTAGATAGTTACACACTTTCTTTCAGGAAAAACGTTCCAAAGGCTGTCGTCGAGGTCTCGGCACATGCGCAAACACACTACGGATGAACGCAGTCGGAAAACTCCGTTCCTTTGCACGATTTGCGGAAAATTGTTTCCCTATTCGAACACCATGTCCAGGCATATGATGTCGCATGCTGGGGTCAAGAGGTTCACGTGTAAAATTTGTAATAAGAAGTTTAATCAAATGGCGCATCTTAGGTAAGTGTGAAGCAACATTAGCGTCAAAATATTAGGATTTTTTTGGCAGATTGTAGGTGTTCGCCTTCACTAATCCTCAGGATATAACAGGTGACACAAGATAATGGACCGGATTATTATTACAAATATAGATTTCGTTTGTCCGGCCACAGACGGTTAACCATGGATAGCTTCCTGCAATTTAGTAATTTAGTAACTCAGCAGTTCTTAGCCTAATTCTACCAATTTGGCGCTGGCGAAGGCGGAGGTGTAAGCCGGTGCGTTGTCATGGTAGAAGAGCACTTCTTCCTCGCAAAATGGGGTTATTTTTTGTGCAGTTCGGCGTCGAATGGGCCCAATAGTTCGGCATAGTAGAGTCTTGTGACCGTTTTGCTCTTGCCCAGGTGGCCGATGTAGATAACACCTTGAGAACCCCAGAAAACGGTGGCCATCATCCTTCCTGCCAATAGGACAGTCTTCACCTTCTTCGGAGCACGTCCGCTGGGTGAAGTCCGGTGTTTGGACTGTTCCACACATCGCGCAGACAGCTTTCTCATGCGAAATATTTCATGCAGGGTACAACCCACGCGGTCTTTTGAGATGCCTACTGTCTCAGCTATCTCGCGCACCTTCAATCGGCGGTCTGCCAATACGAGATCGAGGATTTTTGTCACGTTATCCTCCGTGGTAGCCGTTTTCGGGGCTCATCAAAAACAGACGTGCGACCACGTTGAAACTCGTTAAACCAATTTATGACGGTCGCCATCGAAGGAGAAGAGTATCATACACAGCACCCAGGCGCTCTTTGATTTCGCTGCGCGATTTCGCTTTTAAAAACAAGTATCGAATCATCGAGCGAAATTGCTGTTTTTCCATTTTTCTAAAATCCGCGGACACGCGGTCAAAACAAAACTACGAGTCGGTATCTTTTGATGTATGGTTCTTTTCTAGGGCTAAACTCCGATGTAGCGCAACTGCTGCGTGGAAGTTAAAATCGTCTTGTTGACTTGAATTTCAATAGGGACAACGGGGCGATCGTACCTGTTGGTTTTCGATTTATAGGCCTAGAACACGGCGCCATCTTGGAGCAGCAAACTTTGTGACCTATCGATAAAATAGAGTTATCTCACTATCAATTATTACTTTTTTATTCCAGGGTTCACATGAGAACACACACTGGCGAAAAGCCATATACGTGTAGTTATTGCTATCAGGCATTCTCTCTGAATGCTTCTATGAGGAAACACGTGCTTGCTAAACATAAAAGAGACGTCTTCCGGAAACAGGCAAGCAAGAGGACTTTAGGGCATTACAAAACGGAAGAAGAAATTGAAGCAGAACAAGAGCAACAAATCCAATATTTGTATGAGGATGACGAGAAAATGCTTGTTGAAAGGCTCGAATGATCGTGCTAATGAAAATAAGATTTGATTTTATTAATATATGTGGTTATACACATCAAATGTTCAACATAGGAATTAATGTTCAAGCTGTTTTAGCCAAACTGGTGTTAAAACCATGAGACATCAGTGTATTTTCAATGAACTTAATGTATGTATGCTAAACGTAAAATTTAAATACCCTGTACATTTTCGCGCAAAAGCTTCATTGAAAAGGATCATGAGATGTCATCTTGAATATAATGTCTACACTGTCATTTTATTCATATGTATATTTGGGTATCACAAGCTTATCAATATATCTTTTAATTAAGACTGTTATAGTCGTAATAAGATTGGAAAAATGCTAAGCTCTTTTTATTGAATAAAGTACACTTTTGATATTTTTGTGTATTCATTCACGTTGACCTTCATCTTAACATTCACAAATATCACACATATGTGTCCTATTTAAGTTGATTTGAAGAGAAGGCATTTCGTGAAGTGTCTTTGAAATCCATTGGTCGGCTACATTTTCCTTGGTCTTAGCTGCATTCTAGTCTAATCATTAAATAGAACTCATGGTGACCGATAATAATAACAACATAAATTTTAAAAACATATTCCACAAAAAGATAATTATTGAAGAATAATGACTTGGAGCTATACTGTTCTTTCACTCAATTGAAGAAAAAATGTTGAAAATAATTTTGTAACTTTATTGATTGATATTATTTAACAAACTTATAGTCATTTTCAGTCAGAATCATCAGTTTTTACTTTGCAAGAAACAATAAATATGATAGTAAAACTCAAGGGATTCATCAGAAAAGTAACGAAAAAGTTTCTTCAAGTCAGCTTTTTTCATATACGTAAATGTCGATTAGCATTAGGTTTGATTAACTGTGAAATCGAAAAATTTTTGGCCATCAGCTCACTTGGACGTTATATAAATTTGCGACCACCAGCTTTTAAAATCAATGATATCGTTATATCTAATGGTAGTATGCAAAAATGGCAACACCTTTCGGGAACTTGGTATCATTTGCTTATATTCTTCAAGAACATATATGCGATCAGCTCTTCTTATCACCCTTTTAACAGTTCCGAAATCCTTATCATAGGCAAAACGGGATGGCCACGGACTGGAAAGTAATGAACTATTTAGTGTCATTAAAAACGTACCATTGTGTGGTTGCGTTTTTGCCCAGGATACCCGTCGCAAAATTAGTGGAAATTCGGTAATTTCTGTTATTCACTAGACAGGGTTTACGGCACAATATGGCGGTTGAGTGGAAGAAAGGTACATGCTCCGGACGTGTACTGTTCTTTCACGTAAATTGAGCAGACTGCCACCGAACGTACGAGGCTAGTCATTGTACCATTCTTTAGCTATATGATGAGTCTTTGAGTTTTACACAATTATCAGGTAAAATTGTCATATTTGTCACTTGACTGTTCTTTCACTCACCGATTCACTTGCATAAATATGTTGTTCACATTGGATGAAAAATATATTTTGTAGACTGCAAATACAAGTGATAGACAATGTTAATGGCCCATTCAAAACGTGTTTGGACGCCATCAGCTGTTTTGTGGACGCCATGTTTTTGACTACGCATCTACCTCTAATTTTATTCGCCTTGTCTAACTGTCTTCTGTTGGTATAACTACTCTGAGGTGAAGGTCTGATCGATAGACATGAAATAAATATGAAGGTTCTCATTTTGGGTATTAGCAGAGCTGTTACACTTTGTCAACTTCTCGAATCAAATATCAGAATTTGGCAATTCTGTAACATTTATGTTTGACATTCTTAATGTTGGATATATCTTCCGTTGCACCTAATATTTTATATAATAGTATATTTTCAAAAACTCGATACGCTAAATTTCAGTATCAGTGAGCACTATGGGCATAACAGTACGGTTGGTGCTTGTAGGTACGAGCATGTAACATGGCTTCACAGTTGAGACCTTGAGAATATAGAAAACTGATTAGATTGGAATACGCATATCAGCGAAAACATGTGGATGTGGTTCATCCAAGAATTCAGTCGCATTCGGCAAGTTATATATAGAGTGGGGTATAAAGACTTCCCAGATTTGGAGAGCCGATAAAAAATGAACTAACCAAGATATAGAGAAAAAACTTTATTTTTTTTACAAGCATATATAATGCCATTTTGAGTCAATGCATTTTGAAAATGACATCACTCAAGTATACGCCTCCATTGTTTATACACTGAGTGAGCCTCTTCCGACAATTTTTCCATCATGTCAATTGGAATGGCAGCAATTTTCTGGATTATCGTCTCTTTGAGAGCATCTAGAGTTTGGAGGCGATGTAGGAACACTTTTTCCTTCAGGTGGGGCGCATTGTATACATCATTGTACAATGTATATAATGTATACCATAGCAAAGCATTGCATACAGTGCTGGCGAAAGACACTTTCCCCTTTAGATTTCCATGTGTACGAGGAAGAGAGAGGGGGGAGAAGCGGGCACCACTTCTGTAGGAAGGGTGCACCACACACTACGTTGCCTGGCACAACAGCGATGGAGGTCACGGAACAGAACACGGTTGTAACGTACGCCCAAATACACATTTCTGTCGAATCTGTTTACGATCAGTTCCGGATCGATCCTAATGGTTCTCCGATTTTAGCTGGAACTGAAACTTCAGCTTCGCTCCAAATTTTGCAACATTGCATTATTGGTTTGACTGTGAAAGCAGTTTATAAATAATGAGGAAGGGTATAAAATAAAATAAAACAAAATACTTTCTGGAAACAAAATCCACGCTGAGTGAAGTCACCAAAGGACTAATTTCACTCATCGGAAGTTTTTTGCAGACGACACTCTACGGAATATGTCGTTCCATTTTTAAACAAAATGAACCCTAGTTCATCGATTTCTTTGTTCCTGGACCGTCCAACCATATTTTTTTTAAGTTGCCGGTTCCCTGTTCACCAACTTTCTGACGTTTACGAATAAACCTAACCTCACTTATGCCATACATTATCTTCATCATTGTATACATTGTATACGCAATGTATACATTGTATACGCATTGTATACATCGAGACGTAGACAATTAATGTATGCGCGTAAACGCCCATCACTGCATTAGGTAGCTCCAAAGAAGAAATCAGATGGGATCAAATGCGGTGAGTATGGAGGCCACTCGATGTCGCCGCGCAAACAAACGACGTGTCCAGGAAACATTTCTCGCAGAAGTGCAATTAGTTAGAACGACGAGCGACTAGCGACGAGCGACGAGCTGTGTGGGCTGTTGCTGGTTTTATTAAAAATGGCAGGAATAGATACGTCGAATGGTATATCTTCCGCTGCGCTATCCCCCCCATTGGCGTAGCTAGACGGTTTCCAAATCTGGGAGGTCTTTCTGCCCCACCCTGTAATACAAACTACAAAAAATAAAATCGCTTGCAGAAAACAGTTTTCATGCTTGCTATCCCCAGAAACCATATATTTTTGCTAGAACCTTTCCTACATTTGGAATGCCGACATATTCTTTGTCATTTTCGACTGGTTAACATGGAGGTCAGATCATTCCTGCGATAAGGATCTAATCATTGGTAAAGGTTTTTCTATTTCACCTTTCACTTCGTATAGATTGAACCATTCCAAGCTGACACGTGTATTTACAAAAAAGAACCGAACATGATGATGTGTTCCGTCGTAACCAGTGTTTTACACAAAGAGGCAAAGGTGAAGTCAGATTATATCTTTTTGATGGCGTGCACATACACTAACATACGCGTAAAAATTGAAAATGACCTGATTTTACAGTGGACCTTTAGATAAAACGGCATTTTTGTAGTAATAGAACAAAAAAGTAGTGTTTTAAACTATTAAGACACTAATTTTGCCGGAAAGGGTTGGATATCGCCCTGACAGTGACGCTGGTTGAGGGAATCTATGGGGACGTTGCACTGGAGGGCCACGTTTACATTTTAAACCGAATCATATCATGGGGTAACATTTCGCCATTTCATTTTTCTTTTTTTTTGCTTCGCCACCGAAAGCGGACAAAGCACTCAATTGACATGGCAGATACAGGAATGAGTCCTGTTTTTGTCCATCGGTGATAATACTTTGCGTCGAAATCCAAACCGTATCTTGAGGGGTATGTGTAGAAGTTTGAGCATTTTCTCTACTACATTCGGAATTCAAATCCTCTTTTTACAGCAGGGTACTTGTTGCTGTACTGCTCTACACAACTTTCAACTGTCAGCGACCTCTTACTCTTTTGTCTAAGTGAGTTTCTGCAGGAGACAACCTGCCAAATGTCGCGCCTGTCGGTTCCTTCGTCTACATCAAAAAGCAACGGAGGAACTTCCAAATTAGTGGAGCACTAATTATCATGCGAAAGGTGTAAAACATTGCACTTTTCAGGCATAAAGTTTCAAACGTAAAATTACATTTTATCTGGGCCCATAACCTAAAAACGACGTATACATTATTCATTATTCTTTCACACTTATCAGCTAATACTCACTAAATAGCTAAACACTCGCGTCAGACAATTATTGATTTAAATATATCGGATACGATTGTCCATGGGTAATAAACTGTAGCTAGTCGCTTGTCGACTGACGAAAATTGAAAACCTTGCAGCCAGATCATAATTACCTTCTGCACAGCACTAATAAAAGTAAAACATGTCGGAAAGAGCGGTGCAGCCAGCGGTTTCCAATTAACAAGATATTTTGCCACTCTAACGTAGATGATGAAGCTGTTGCGGAATTTTCATCTGATAGTTGCCTACCTTGTGATGCATTACGGATTGTCTAATGGCGATTACGCTCATAGCTTACAAAGTATTAGCTTTTTGTATATTGCTAGTGTTTTATGGATCTCCTCCTGTGCCTATTATAAGTTTCTTAATTTATTGTTGACGTTTTTTTTGATATTTGGCTTGCTGTCAGAATTATGTTGACCTCCACCTGAGCATTTATCGCAGCGATGGATTTTTTTGAAGCTGCCGCGTTCCAAGGCTGCTATGACTAGCTGAAATAAACTTTGTTGATCCAATTTTTGAACTGCCTAAGGTTAGTAGAATTGGGATAAGCCTCCTCTCAACTTAAGCAAGCTGCGGTGCAAATCTCTTCAGTATAACGACAGGAATTAAATCCAGTTCAGAAGCTTTGATGATGTCGAGCGACAAAAGCACTCATCTTACGGAGTTATGTCTGTAGGTTATATCTCGCATAGTATGGGGAGAAGTTCACTTCAATTTGAAATTTCCCGCTCACAAAAAACATTAAATATTGTGGGGCACAAGTTGAAGTGCGCTTACAAGAATTTTTTTATAGCATGTACACTCAATCAGTGTTTTACCAGATACAGCTGTTGTGTATTGTGTTCCGTCGCAGAT